AAACCTCCGTGTTGCCGTGTTTAGGGCATGGGGCTTGGTGACTCCTCCTCATGCTCCTACTCCTTCTCCTACTACTACTACTACTACTACTGCTGCTACTACTACTACCACCACCACCACCATCACCACTGCTACTGCTACCACTGCTGCTCCTGCTACTGCTGCTGCCGCTACGGCTACTGCTAGCGCTACTGCTACTGCTGCTACGGCTACGGCTACTGCTACTGCTAGCGCTACTGCTGCTGATGCTGCTGCTACTGCTACTCGACGCAGTTGTGGTTGTAAACTGATGGTGGGTGAAGATGATGACAGTGCTGACAGTCGCGGCGGTGGTGGTGGTGGCGGCAATCGCTTTGGTGGGTGTGTGACGACTACAGTGAGCCATTTAGCTTGTCGCCTGCATGGGTGAGGTGTGACGTCGTCTGCATAGTGTGACGATGCTGTCAACTTTAACTTAGCCGCTGTGCTTCGACTGCTTCGCGGAGCGAATGCCGATTGCACGGGTCATGGCACCGAGTGCAGGGCAACAAACTCCTTCAGCTTGTCTATGTCATGTCGGGCAGGATCCTTCACTTCGCCACAGAAAGCATACCAAAGCTCCTTCTTGTCCTGGCCTGTTTTTTGGAAGTTCTTGACCCGATCCACCAGGGTGGCCTTCTCAGGGTCAACTTTGAGCCTCTTCTGTGCTCCCCCATACCAGGCCATCATCTGGTACATCATCTTCCCGGGGCTATTTGGGTTAGGCGGTCGCCCAGTCCACGCAGACACCTGGACGGCTTTGCCTCCGGGACAAGCAGCTGTAATTCGGAGAGGGAAGACGGCCGCATCTAGCTCCATAATGCTCTGCACCGCTGAGCAGCTACGGGTATGCGAGGAGCTCTAGGTTATCTTTTCGACATGGACTCGCCATGCAAGGGCACTGCTCCAGGTTCACACTTCTGTTAGATCTCTGCTTGACGACTCTTGCATAACACCACAACCACTACAGTACAGAGTTGTACATCATGCTAGTTTTGTCACTCATCGTTGCAGATCTGGCCTTCCATTGAGCTGCCATCGAGGCTGGCAATAGCTTGCTGGGCTTCCGCTTCGGTCTTGTAGCGCACGAAGCCGATACCCCGTGGCTGACCCCAGTCGTTGTACAGCACATCGCAGTACTCGATCTCCCCAGCGGTCTTCATATGGTCCTTCAGCTCTTGCCACTCTGCATGTTTGGGAAGACCCCCGACGTAAATGCAGCGTCCATCATCTGGAACTTGGTTCGCCATAGCCGACCTCTCCTAAAGACTCCGAGCCAGAAGATCGACTGGAGGCAGGCAGGCTGACTACACCAAATGCATCATCATTGCGCTACATAACATTTGTCATCTAAGATTTGAGCTGCCTTCTTCACCCGCCCTCGGTCGGCTTCAAGGTCACAAGCCCGTCGCTGGGCCTGACGCATCTGCCAATGCTTTTTGGGGGAAGCCAAAACATATGGGCTCACGATGCGGAGTGCAACACACGGGCACAGTGCAGGGCAGCAAACATTCACTGACGGTAGTGCACCGCGTTGTATGTCTAGTTTCTTTTCTCACATACCGTTCTCAACCAGCAGTGCATAGTCTCATCTTGGGCTGCAAGTAGTAATTACGTGGCCTAACAGTCATACCCAGTAGATACCACCCTGTCGCTGGCAGCCCTTCTTGAAATCTGAAACGCAGTACAGCACAGCACCCCCATCCTGCAAGTAATGTCTTGTTCGTGCAGCTGGCAAGACGCTCCACCGAGTTTGCGAAACACCGTGGCCTCTTTGCGCGCCAAGCACGTGTCTTCCAGCTCCTTGCCGTCCATGCTCACAAACCTTTTCCTTCTTTATGCAGCGAGAACACACAAGATGAGTGTGCGATTGCATGGGGCCGTAATCTCCACACCCTAAACGCTACACAAACCTATCACACCCATACCGAAAATAACCCCGCAAATCCTATTGCTGGAATCAACAGTCCTTCTGCAGCTGCTCAATCTTCCTCTCCTGACTCTGCAGCTGCACCTGCTGTCGCCCCATCATGGTGCCGGGGCTGTGGGCGATCATGAACTATTGTGGTCTTCCAGATTTGGATTTTGGGGTTCATGTGTCCTCTAAAGACTCCAAAGTACGGATTCTACCATTTGGGGTCGGTTTCTGAAACTCCCAAATCGCTGTGGCCCTGGCGTGAGCGCTTGCTGCAGCCTTGCGAGCAAACGGTTTCTAGGGGTGACTGTAGGGTTGAAGACAGGGGCCAGAATAATTGGAATAGATTGTTTATTAGAGTATCTGATAATACGGGAACATATCAGTAGTCACAAGTAGTCACAAGTGTTCCGACCCCTGAATTCGGATTACGATAGGACAGTTCCCCTCATACCGAGCCTTCATGGCTAAACCCTATGAGATCCTTATCATTCTTTCGTGGTACACCTATGGATTCTTTAGGATTTAATAAAGATTTTGAGAACTGTCGACGAATTACAACTCGCACAGACCAGGCAAGGATCCGCGGATTTAGGGGAAATTTGGGGTTTAGGGTTTACTAACCCTTCCTCCTTAAACCGATAGGACGCTAAATCCCAAGAGCCCTCCCTCAACCACAAACCCTCAAACTCGTAAAACCCTAAAGCCCCAAACCCTCAACTCCCAGACCCAAGCCTGAAAGGCCCTAATGCCCTAAACCCTAAATTCCCTTTTTGCATCTGGACTTGTGCCATCGCCAAAGACTGGCAACCCAGGACCCCTAAACCCCTTTTGCATCCAGTCTGCAGCGACTCTGCCGGGAAAGGCTTGTATCCGCGCTTTGCACAGGACAAAAAGGCTTCACAAACTAGTTATTATGCTGTTGGCCCCCTCGTCGTCTAAGCCCCTAAGCCTCTAAACCCTAAACCCTAAACCCCTAAACCCTTTTGCATCCAGGACTCTCGCAACCAGCCGGGAACCCCTAAACCCCTAAACCCTAAACCCTAAAGGGCAAGCCACAAAAACTTTGGCAAGGGATCTTGCGGGGCAGCTACGTCCAGCTAGGCAAGTAACCACCCCCACCGCAGTGGAGCCTTCCTGGCCGGTTCCTTGTTACAACTGCCGTATAATGGGCCCCAAAACCCTACTCTAATTGTTAAGGCCCCTATCCCTAAGGGTCCAAGTACTCATTATTTAAGGATTTTGGGGCCCTTATGGGTACCCAAAACCATAATAAGGACTACTTGGACCCTTAGGGTATGTCAGACCTTATCGCAGGGTCGACTTTGGGGTGATAAGGTTTGGGTCGGGCCCTCGAGACTCGTGGAGCCAAGGAGTTGGCCTAGGGTACAGACGACAGCAACGAGGTCGAAACGAGAATCCTGGAGATGCTTCAAGGATGAAAATTTGGTCTCACGGCAAGGTCTTGAGCCAAGATAAGGGTTTAGGGGGTTGCCACTGCTGTCGATCCTGCCATGCTTATATTAAAAAGCTGTGAGTGCTTTCAGTGTTTAATGAGGTTCGCTATCGCTGTTTGCTTACATGAGTGCTTGCATTGCAGATTGACACGGCAGTTCTCCCTACAAAAGCTGGGTAAGCACGTTAAACCAGCAACACACATACTCCCATAGTTGGAGCTTATAGGGTTTAGGGCTTAAGTTTGAGGGATATGTAACCCCTGAAGTGCGTGTGTGTGTGTTAAAACATATACTTACACATATACATATACTTGTACTTGTTTATGCATATACATATACACATACATACATACATACATACATACATACATACATACATACATATGCTTATATGTACCATGTGTATCTTGATTTGTGTGTAATACATATAATTATATAAAATACAAAAGATTCTTGAGGAGCTGCAGAACACAACAAACAACATGTCGGGGGCCTCCCATGGCTCCACAAGTGGCGCCGGCATGCGGGTGTTTCTTTGACCGCATCTCAGCGGCTTAAGGCTTTGGGTCTTAGCAATTCGCATCTCGAAAATTAAATCAGGGTTTAGGGCTTATAGAGATTTGGGATTTGGGGTTTATAGGGGTTTAGGGTAGCTTTATAGGGATCTAGAAGGTTGCGGTCCAAGGCAGCGGCGTACATCTCTGTTGTCCCCTGGATGGCAACAAAAAATCACAGATATGTGCATTTCATATTGTGAAGGACGGGGATGGCCCGCTTGAGGAGGCAGTCATGGGTTTGGGGTTTAGGGTTCAGCCAGAAGAGCAAGTGCATTTTACAGGCTGTGGGTCGGCAAAGCCTGTCATAAGATGCACAAACCCGAACTGAATCTGGTCTTTTTCTCAACTGTCCGGTTTCCGGTATTGCTTCAGACATGAGACGATTCCGGTAAATTGCTATGAGTTGCTTGAGCCCTGAAGCCCTAAACCTTTAAGACAGAAACCCCACCTGTAGCTATATTGAGCCGTAAACCCCCTAAAACAGATTGAGGATCATACCCTGAGGGCCCAAAGGACCCAATAATTAGATACTTAGGTTTCGGATAGTAGTTACGTAGGTTGAACCCTAAATCCTAAACAGCACTTGGGAGAGTATATGATGATGAGGCACTTGGACCCTTAGGGATATGCCACACCTGTGACCAAAGCTCGAGGTTTGCTTGGGACGATGGGGTCAATATGCAAATGCAGTAATTCTACACGAAGGTCACTTTCGAGTGACCGTTGCCCACGCTGCTGATCTGCCCCTGCACGAACTCCAAATCAGAACACGTTCAGCAGTTCCCCAAATGACTCCGAACCGTAAGAGTCGCAACCTTGACTACCATCACCAAAGGACCCATTGCAAAACAAAAAACGTCCATAATCCCCTAAACATCTCAAAACCCTAAACCCTAAAGCCGGCCACTCCCAATGCTGTAAACCTCAGCCCTTCAGACCCCTGCTCTGATTTTCTGCTAGGCTCGCGCTGAGTTCTTCACCTGATGGTAGCCAGATCCGAGATCAAGGCGAAAGGAAGCAGATCCGTCTCGTCTCATTGGCATCCCGGGCAGTTTAGGCTCGGGATTCTGGTTGACGTGGTGTGGGGGTGAAGAAACTTCAAGCTTCAACCCTGAACCCCAAAGGGCCGACCAACCAACCAACCAAAAGAAAACCCAAGAGCCCAAAACCCATAGCCCAAAGCCGAAAAGCCACAAGCTACGGGCTGTGAGCAAACGACGAATGTAGATGACCTTCAGGCGTTCTTGTTGTCGGGCCCAAGCCTTTCCCATGTCAAGTTAAAAATATGCGAGTTAGTATTGAAGGTTTAAAATACGGTTTAAGGTTTTACAGTGACGAAATAAGATTCCTCTTGCAGTTGCAACTACTGTTAATGTTACCATGCCGAATACGTTTACGGCTCCTTTTATTCCAATTACCACTTTTGTACTAGTTACTAGGACTAGTACTACTAAGTACTAGTACTTCCGCTGCTGCTGCTGCTGCT